GGGGGATGGCCACAATGCAATCCCTTCTCTTCCATTCTCCTCTCAGGATTTTGGGCACGCACGCACACATGCCCAGCATGAATTTCAAGCCACTAGGTCCGGGACTCATACTGCAGTTGACTACATGGGAGTTTAGCAACCAATCTACTGGTCTCATTTCCACTTCATAGTTAAAAAATACTTATTATGACCTACACATTTTTTTCCTTTTTTTTTTTTTTTTTGAGAGGTTTTTGCTATAGGGCGTGTGTGCTCACCAGAAAGACAGAGAGACATAGAGACAGAAAGCGAGAAGTCACCTCCAGGGGAGATAGCCATGCCGCAATCCCTTCTCCATTCTCCTCTCAGGATCTTGGGCACACACGCACATGCGTCCAGAGTGAGTTTAAGCCACTGGGTCCGGGAGTCAAACCACGGTCGACTACATGGGAGTACAGCGACGTAGCCATTATGCCAACTGCTGGTCCCTGGCCTAAATTGATTTTATGATTCACAAATGGATCCCAACCACTGGCTTAGGTTAATACACAGATCGTGCCCTCAAGAAACTTATACATTCTCTAAAAGTCTCATATATGTGTAGTTCAGATATCTTACAGTGGGAAAGGCCTTAGAGGTCAATTAGTTCAACTACCTACTTTGTAACTGATCCTATAGTATCCCTCACAGAAGGTGATATACTTGACAGTCCTTATGTGAATGTTTCTAGAACAAAAATCTATATCTCACTTGGAGCCTGGCATAAGGTTGGCCATAAGTGACCTGTTGAAACAGTACAGAAAGGAGTTTAAGTGAATCAAATACATAAATGTATACTCAATTCCTTTTTCCTAAAAGATAACTTGGAGAGACCAGCAGGTGGCGTGGTGATTAAGGCACAGGACACTCCCATATGGCCAATCATGGTTTGAGTCCTGGACCTGGTGGTTTGCTTTTTCACTTTATCTCTCCCTCTCTCTGTGTCTCTCTCTGGTCAAATTAAAAATAATGAATAAATAAAATTTTTTAAAAAAACTTGGACCATTATTCCTAAACCTATTTTAGTGTTTTCTAGGATAAGGATAAAAGGGGAAAGGTAAATCACAGAGACAGGATCAGGAATGGTTCTTCTGTGATGATGTGAAGGGGTCAGAGTGGGTTATATTACAAGCAGCCTGCAACACTGAGGGGCCTCCTCCACCAGCCTTTTCATCTGAATTCTGTGACTCTCTGCCTGCCCTATCTCTGAGTGGAAACTGGACAGTCTTTCTCTTCCAACCCTCCTCCCTACATCCCTGGCCCTGGTTATCTTCTGTGATAATTAATGGCAGTGAATGGGCCATTTTGAACTGGTCCTGAGGTAATAAATAGGCCAGGGGCTGTGTGGGTAAGAGAGAGGGATGAGAACCATTGGAAAACTGAAAATGAGCTTTACTTTTTTGTTTTTAATCTATTTAACTTTATTTATCATTATTATTATTGTTTTCATTTGCTACAGAGCATGTGTGCTCACCAGAGAGACAGAGAGCAAGAGAAAAAAAAAGTAAGAAAACAAGTCACCGGGTCTGGGACTCAAACCATGGTCAGCCAGTGCCTTAACCATACCACCTGCTGGCCCTGAACTTTTTTCTTATCTTTTATATTTATTTATTTTTTAATGTTAGTAATACACACCATGGAAACAAACATTTTCTTTCTTTCTTTCTTTCTTTCTTTTTTTTTTTTTTTTTTTGAGAGATTTTTACTATAGGGCACATATGCTTGCTAGAGACACTCGACAGAGACAGAGAGAAATCCCCCCCTCCTTTAGGGCAGTGGCCATGCTGCAATCCCTTCTCCATTCTCCTCTTGGGGTTTTGGGCATGCACACGTACGTGCCCAACGTGAGTTTCAAACCACTGGTTCTTTGATTTGAACCATGGTTGACCATGTGGGAGTCCAGCACCTTAACCACTATGTCACCTGCTGGCCCCCAAGTATTTTCTTAAAAAGAAAATAAAAATGTTAAGGGGCTTCCCACATAATATTCACAATGAGCGCTAGAAGGCTGGAAGTCAAGAAAGTCTTCCCCGAGACGTTCCAATAAGCCAAGTTTTCAAAGAGTGACTGGAATCAGGTAGAGAAAAGAATGGCAGGATGTGATCAAAGATGCAGAAGAAATGAGCCCAGTCAATTTAGAGGACAGTAGAGAATTCATTAAAAGGAGCAGTAAAATACAACGCCAGAAAGGCTAAGATCTATCTGTGGAGAGTAAGACAGAGTCTGGATTTTATCCTGTGGGTGACACAGTGTTACTGAGTGTACACAGTGGTATTTCAGAATTATTCAAATGCACGTGGACCTGAAACCTGGCTCTAAAATGAACCAGAGTTTAGATATTAGGTCCACAAGTTGTGCTTCGGTTTAGAGAAAAATGTGTGTGCACGTGGAGTTCATAAATTTGGAATTCTAATAAGAGTAGTCTTAGTTACATAAAAAGTAGAAAAGATGGGATCATCATGTTGAGTTCAGAAAGCAATGAGGTCCAATTTCTTTCTCCTTTCATCATTTTGCTGTTGTGAATGCAGTGAGAGCTTTCTCTGTAGCTAGCACTAAGTGGCTGACTATTTCGTTTATAAAAGCTATAGACTTTATTCAGAAGCAAGTCCTCGGTGTTACTATGGGCCTAGTAAAAATTATAAACCATTAGACAAAAATTAAGTTATAAGGGCCAGCAGAGGGCGTAATGGTGTGTCACTAGATTCCCATGTTGTTGACTGTGGTTCAAGTCCCGGACCCAGTGGCTTAAATTCCCACCAGGTGCATGTGTGTGTGTACCCAAAATCCTGAGAGGAGACTGGAGGAGAAGGGACTGCGGTGTGGCCATGCACCCTGGGGGATGATTAGGAGTCCTATATCAAAAATTTCTCTTAAAAAAATAATTAAGTTCTGCATAAACAATACCAGCCCTTTTAAGAGTAATGTTTCCTAAAATTAACATACAAACAGGGATCTCTGAAGGTGTTAACTATCTAGTAATTCAGGCTCTTCTGGGTAGTGTCAGTGCCCTATGAACCTTAGCAAGAACTGAGGTCTTAGGTGAACATAAACATCGCCCATGACTCACCTTGCAATTACAGCTGCCACCTGAAAGCATATTCAAGTGATGAGAACTACAAAGCTAAATCTCTGTAGGATCCCATACTGTTCTTGCTCTGCCTTCTTCCAGTAATAGAGCTCAGGGCTCTTTACTAACTTTCCAGCATCATTTTTTATTATATTTCTAAATTTAAAAAGGGCTGTCTCCAAAGGCCTCAAAATTACTTTGAGTTATTAATACTGTAAGTTTTAGAGATATGAACTGTATTAGTTAAGTCTATGTGTTTTCCCCACAGGGGAACAATTTCAGAGAAAGATCTCAATTTTGGAGAAAATATTTGTACATATCAGCCACATAAATGTAAATAATTGCGGGGGGGGGGGTAAATGTAGTCCATTTACTAATTTTTAAGATTCGGCCCAGTTCTTCATTACTGAATTTCTATACCCACATAAGTGGGTAAGTCAGGGTGACCCAGAAGTCTCACGTGTCACACACATTTCAAGCCTGGATCTGAAATGGGGCCAGAATCCCCTTTACAAGGCATATTGCACAGGGAACTACTTTTAGGTTGTTGGTCCCTAAACTGGACAGTGACTCAAGAGGCAGCTGGAGGGAGAGGATGATGGACAAGAGCTACGAAGAGCGGAGCCCCGACGGCGCCCCTCCTCCACATACCCACAGCATGTTTGGTGCCTGCGTGTCCCAGCAGATCCGCTCCTATAGAGCCTGTAGCAGACTATTTCGCCCTGCAGGGTGGAACAGTCTTATCTGCTCATCTCAGCCCTCCCAGGATGGTCCCGAGTACAACACTCCAGTGTGGCACTTAACTGTGGAAATTCAAGTTTGTCCACTCTTAAGGAGGGGACTGTTAAGCCTGGTGTCACTCCTGGTTAGTCCGCAGGGGCCTACCACGGGCCTGTGCTGGAAGCCCTCGCTGCAAAAGCTCGCCACCTGTCGCCCCCACCTGCGGCCGTGACGGCGAACTGGCAGAGCTGCACACCTCACATTTCTAGGTCACACTGGTGTACACTCGCCAACTCTGCCGACCCGTGCACACCCGCCCTTC